AAAATACTAGAAACCTGCAAATTACATTGAGGATTTCATTTATTGGGGCCACACCTAAATAAACATTTTAAGAGCCACAACTGATGGTGTGGACTCCTGGTATGATGCTGTAGGACCAGCACTGAACTGCGAACCACAAGGTCGGCGGTTCAAATCCACTAGCAGCTCTTCAGAAACCCTATACAGGGTTGCTATGAGTCAGAATTGACTTGACAGCATTTAAAAGCAGCAACATTGATGGTGCAGTGTGGAAGAAATGAGTTGAGAAAGAGCATGGGATATTTCCTTGGATTAAGAATCAGTAATACTGGGCTAGAATGGTCTTTAATCCAGGTTCTCCACCTAACGAAATTTCCATGTCCCCTAAAGTCCCCATCTCCAAAGGGAGGAGGCTGGACTAGAATCTGAAGTTTTGGAAAATTAGAACTAGAGGGAACTGCGTAAACATGTAAACATCTGCCTCACTGGATCGCTTCTAGGGCCATGTTCCTTCGGTAAGTCAATGATTCTAGAAGCAAAGGGTGAGTTTCACTGCTACATATACAGTTCACTTTGTGAGGACTGCTGTTACCTTAAAAACAAAACAGGGAATTGTTCATTTGGTTGAAAAGTACACAAGAAAATTTGCTCTTACCCTTTTCCCTGTTTGGTATTTTTATGATACTTTTTGTTTTAAAGCATTTATTTGGTTAAATGGTCTACGACCACCACAAACAGAAACACCTTACAATTTTAGTAATGCATCGAGCTCTGCTAGCATAGTGGTTACGAATCGGGCTGCGAACCACAAAAGGTCAGCAGTTTGAAACTACCAGCTGTTCCATGGGAGAAAGATGAGGCTTTCTGCTCCCGTAAAGATTTCCAGCCTCGGAAACCCTGTACAGGGTTGCTAGGAGTCGGAACCGACTCCACGGCTCATAATCATCATAATCAGTATATGTAGCTCACTAACTTCCAGAATTATAAAAACATGCTGGTGTGGCGCTGTGGGTTAATATGCCAGACTGCAAAGCCGTTTGAACTGCAAGGTCAGCGGTTCAAGCTCACCAGCTGCTCCTGGGAAACCCTACACAGGGTCGCTATGGGTCGGAACCGACTCAATGGCACTTAACAACAACAATCATCTACACAGCAAATTTAAAAAAGAAATTTTCTCTTCTCTGACAAAGATAAATGATTTGATTTTGCTGTCACTATTGCCACCCTTGAAATTATGTGTAACTCTCTCCACATCCTCCACACAGAATCACCAAGTCAAATGATTTTCCTTGATTAATGTCTCTTGGATCAGTCTTCTCTGCTATCACCTAAATTCAAGTTCCTATTAGCTCTCAGACCTGTATGACTGTAAAGTTCTTTTCTCCCTTAATGACTGGTATGTTGTTGTTGTTGTTATGTGCCGGAGTCGGTTCCAACTCATAGCGACCCTGTACAGGGTTTCCAAGGCTGTATATCTTTATGGGAGCAGACCGCCTCATCTTTCTCCCGCGGAACCACTGGTAGTTTCGAACTGCTGACCTTGCGGCTCGCAGCCCGATTCATAACCACTATAGGTATTTTTTAATAGGTATTCTTTATTAAAAATAAAAGTACATGTTCATTATAGGCAATTTGGCCGACTCAGAAAGATATATAGAAAATAATATCAATTACAATCCTGCTTGAGATGATCATTTTACCTTATTTCCTTTCAATTACTCTTAATAAATTTTTATGAATATTGTGCTAGTAACATATGGTTTGAAACTACCAGCTGCTCCGCGGGAGAAAGATGAGGCTTTCTACTCCCGTAAAGATTTACACCCTCGAAA